CCCCTCTTACCTTCTCATTGGCAACAGCTAACCTCACCTCCTACATTATAGAGGAAATAGAAGCCCCATCTCCTCAATATAAAACATATAAGCCTAGCTTTCCTCCTACCTGGTATTAAAATAGAGAGCTTATCCTGATTGCTCTTTAATGTTAATCCTCCTTTTCTGATTTAGATTCCATTCCATCCCTCCTTCTAAGGAACATTATGTTATCAATTATCCTTTTTTGCTCTTATATATTCAATCCCCTCCCACCTTGATTCAATTCTTCTCATCAAGCTCTAAATACATTCAAGTCATTTCCAATTTTTAAAAAAGTCACTCAATCCCACATCCTCCTCCAACTATCATCTCACCTCTCTCCTCCCCTTTATGGATACACTTTCTGAATGTGTGATTTGTACTTGTTGTGTGGCTGTTGTAGTTGCCTTCCTCATATCCATCTTCCCTCCTTTCTAACAGAAACTGATTTGGGGAGGTGGGGGTAGCAATAGGCCTAGCCAAAAAGCTACATTTCCCAGCCTCCCTTGTAGCTAGCAGTGGCCATGGGACACAGTTCTGGCCAATGATGTATAAGCTGAAGTCAGCTCAGAATTTACAGCAAATTTTTGCCTTCCTGATACAGGCACCAGACATTTCTCCTTTATGTTTCTTCCTTCTTATTTCCTCTTATCTGAAACACTGATTTGAGAGCAGGTAGCCTTCTTGCATTCACAATGGAAAGCTGCATGGTGAGGATGACAGAACGATTCTAAGGAAGTGATGTCATCATGGAGCCATAGCAACAGCCTGAACTGTCATCCTCAGTCATTCTCGTTATGTGAAAAAAATAGTTAAGCTACTGTCATCAGATTCCATTATGTGTGGCCAAATGCAACTCCTAATCAATGCTCTTGCTCCCTTTGTTTCTTCACCTTCCACTCACTCTCAAACCATTCCATTCTGGCTTCTGGCCCATCATTCCACTGAGCTCACCAATGACCTACATGTTGAGAAATCCAGGGGACATTTTTCAGTTCTCGTATTACTTAACCTCTCAGCAGCATTTGACTCTGTCATCCATGTCCTCTTTTGGAAACCGCATTTCCCCACGGCCTCCACGACCAGTACTCCCTGGGTTTGCTCCTTCACCTTCTGCCGCTCCCTCTCTGTCTCCTCCATGGGTTCCTCTTCCTCTTCTGGACACACTAACCATCTTGCAGTCTCTTTTGCCACATGCTGTTCCCTCTGTCTGGAACACTGTCTTCTCCCTCCCTTTGTCTACCTAACTCTTCCTCATCCTACAGTTCTCAGGCCATTTTTGTTTTTTCTTTTCTTTTCTTTTCTTTTCTTTTTTTTTTTGAGACAGAGTCTCACTCTGTTGCCTGGGCTAGAGTGCCGAGGCGTCAACCTAGCTCACAGCAACCTCAAACTCCTGGGCTCAAGCAAAATTTTTTTCTATATATTTTTAGTTGGCCAATTAATTTCTTTCTATTTTTAGTAGAGACCAGGTCTCGCTCTTGCTCAAACTGGTCTCGCTCTTGCTCCTGATCTTGAGAGATCCTGCAGCCTCGGCCTCCCAGAGTGCTAGGATTATAGGCATGAGCCACTGCGCCCAGCCTCAAGCCATTCTTAACTCCCTTAAAGGAAGACTTCCTTCACTCTGGGAGGCTGAGGCGGGCAGATTGCTCAAGGTCAGGAGTTCCAAACCAGCCTGAATGAGACCTCATCTTAACTAAAAAAATAGAAAGAAATTAATTGACCAACTAAAAAAAAAAATATATATATATATATATATACACACAAAAAAAATTAGCTGGGTATGGTAGCGCATGCCTGTAGTCCCAGCTACTCGGGAGGCTGAGGCAGGAGGATTGCTTGAGCTCAGGAGATTGAGGCTGCTGTGAGCTAGGCTGATGCCATGGCACTCACTCTAGCCTGGGCAACAAAGGGAGACTCTGTCTCAAAAAAAAAGGAAGACTTCCTTGACCTCCTTGTGAAATCACATTTCACATTTCCTTATTTTATATTCCTTCATAGCTCTTAGCACAGTTACAACTTTACCTTCTTTAGTGAGACTCTTGGACTAAGTTGTCTCTCCCTTCAGACAGTAAACTCCATGGAGAGAGGGACTGGGCTGTTTTTGCTTTTCATCATATTCCCAAACTCAATATACTTCCCAACACTCAATTATTTCTGAAATGAGCAAACGGATGATTATGTAATTACATAGTGGTTTATTTGCTTACTTGTTTATTGTCTGTCTTCCTCTAGCTCCATGAGAGTAGGAAATGTATCTGTTTTGTTCACTACTGTATATGCAGTTCCTAACACATAGTGCTTGGCACCCAGTAGGAAATATAATAAACTCGTTTTCAAACGAATGAGTATGGTTCCAAGGGAGACGTTTCAGTAGTTCTACCCTTAGTATGTCAATGTTTAGGGTTTTTTGTTTTACTATCTTTTAATATAGTTTCTGGCTATAACAGAGCACCATTTTATTGTCTTTAAAGAAGAGTCTTTTGGAAAATGTTAGCTACTAGCTTGTTCTCCTCACAATAAGTCATGTCTAAAATAGGCTGTCCATGAGGATCTTGAATCTATACACTTCTCCCTCTTTTCATTGCCACTACCCTAGTTGAAATCACTATCATGTTTCTCCTGTCCTAAATTAGATCACATACTTTTCCTTAAGGATGATTTAGTAAACTATATATAAACTTGGATGGTTCAGAGTTTTCATGGAATCTTAAGGCCAAGGATCATATCTGTTTATGTTATCCCCAAAGAAAACTAGGCACATATAGGTGCATAAGTAGTTTTTTATTTTGTTACGGCAGATTATTTCCATTCTGCATTTGACAAAGTATTTAGTTAAGGAAAACAAGTATTTTTAAGCTAGCAACAAATTTTTATTTTCAAATGACCAAACTGAAAATATCCAGTGATGGAAAAAAATCAGTCAATGGCTTTTTTTTTTTTTTTTTTTTTTTGAGACAGAGACTCCCTCTGTTGCCCCAGGTAGAGTGCAGGGGCAGCATCGTAGCTCACTGCAACCTCAAGCTCCTGGGCTCAAGTGATCCTCCTGCCTCAGCCCCCCCAGTATCTGGGATTACAGGCTCACACCACCACACCCGGCTAATTTTTTGTATTTTTAGTAGAGATGGTATCTCGCTTTGATCAGGTTAGTCTCAAACTACTGAGCTCAAATGATCCTCCTGCCTCAGCCTCTCAGTGTGCTAGGATTACAGGCATGAGCCACCATGCCTCACCCAGTCAATAGCTTTTTATGTTCACCCCCACCTCCCTGTCCCATGAATTCTTAGCCATTGAGGTACCTGAGACATTCAATGAAGTTGACAAGAAAAGTCAATTATGCAACTGTGACAGCCCTGAGAATGCCCTCTGCCTTGTGGTCAGCTTATCTGGCTCCTCCAGGCCAACCTCTTTTCTTTTCTCCGTGACAAACCTTCCTTGATTCCTCAACCACTTATATATGTGCCGCCTCAACTTATTTTATATATGTCTACCTAAACATGTGTGGCTATATATCCTTTCACCTAACCAGCCCAGGAGGTGTGGAACAAGTATCTTATACACTATTGTATCCTCAAGGCGCACTACAAAATGCATAGGCATAAAGTTCTACTGCTGCCAATGCTTGATTTCTTTTTAGCTAATAAGATTTGCCAAGCATTTGTTATGTGCTAGGCACTGTGTTGCACTCAGTAGGTGCTATTGCTCCCTTCCCATAGTCTAAGTAACTTGCACAAGTCTTGCAGTGAGCAGTGGAGCCTGGACTCAAAACCTAGTTTACCAGATGCCAGAGCTGAGGCTCCTAACCACCACGCTATCCTGCCCCTCATCAATGTTCCAAGGTACCAAACTCCAACTAGGCTGCATCTGCTCCTGACTATATTTGAAGGCACCAGGTGACAGCTTTGCTCACTAGTTGGGGGCATTTTACATTGTTCTCCAATAAAATCGCTAAGTCTGCAAATAATTAAGAGAGAAATCATTTTGGAAACAGCAGGAAGGGGTGATGTGTAAAAAGCCACTTTGACGTTGAGATGTGCATTTAAACATATAGCTTAGGGCTATGAAAAGCCACTACACTGAGATTGCAGAAGCATTAAAAATCAAATTGCCTTATAAATTTTTTAGAGAACTGTAATTGACACCCTATCATCTCTCGGGAAATCTTCCTTAAAACTCAAGCCTCTTGGACACCAGGATGAATAAATTGGCCTCCTTCCTTTTCATCTCTCCATTCTCTGCCCTAGAGGGTCAAAAAGAAACCGTTTCATTTTAAAAGTTAAGCTTTGTTTCCTGAAGTTTCTATCTGGTTAAACTGAAAGCAAGAAAAATCACTTCCTGTAGGCATGATAGTAAAAAGCATTTAGCCCCACTTCAGATTAACGATGGCAGAGTATTATTAAGTACCCTCCTCATTTAACTAATAAAGCCAATTAATATCCTTCCTATCAAAAATATGGTTTACAAAGTTTTGACTATTGATATTTTAACCAGCTTATCCTTTTGTGTTTTAAATGAAAGGCACGCATATGGACTGCTGAGTTTCCTCAAGAGACTCTAACAGTTGGGGAAAAGTCCAGGGGTAAGGTAACTCAGAGACATGAACCTGCAGCAAAATGGAAATTCTTCAAATTAGGCATCAGGAGAAGCAACAGATAAGAGCAACTGGCAACTGGAGATATCCTTTTTATCCTCTGGGCTAGAAACATACTGGCAGAAGCTTTAACTAACTAAATGTACTTGCAAGTTCTCCGAAGGGAGCGATCATGTTGCATCAGGGTCACTGTTCATAACACATTACTTTGCAAACAAGTTCCTAGGACTTTGTAAAATAGTGAATTCTGAACCCTCAATATAAGCATAAAAATGCCAGCATATCCATTACATATCCCAACTACAAAAAAATTAGTTTGACTATTCACTGAAATGGAAACTCCAGTAGTATTTATGATTTATGAGAACATACAATCTTCATTTTGAAAGACTTAAAGCCTCAAGGAGGTATTTATCCAAAATTAGCATCCAGTAACAGCATGTTGGGATATCCCTGTTTTGGCAGCATCTGTAGCCAGATCTTGTTACAGTTCATAAATCTAGTGCTGGAGCCACTGACCTCAGGAAGACAGGTGTCCTCTCCAACAGCAGGTCCACATTCTGGGCAATGAGAAATGTGCTTGATTAAATTGCCTCGAGGCCTGGTCTGTTTGCTCAGGTATCTGGCCAGCATAGTGACCCCTTCACAGAGAATGGAATTTTTATCTCTTCTCTAAATAAATTACTCTTAATTAATTTAGAATTACATTTTCCAAAAGAAATGTTTGCTTGGCCAAATACAATATAATGCCATTTGTTGACTTGCATATTAATTAATCCAAAGTTGACTGAATGCCTACTTGATAGGCCATAGGGATACAAATATTAATGACAAGGAATCTCTTTCATCAATAAGCTTAACACAATCACCCAATAATCATTTGAAGGACCCAGAATAGATCTTCTCTCTATATTTTATCCTTCCGGCTCAATCTTCAAAGCCTATTTCAGGTCTCATCACCTCGGTTCATTCATCTAGAAAACCTTTATTGGGTTCCCAAAATTGTGTTCGGCATTGAAACTTCAAAGATGAATACAATACAGTCCCCATCGCAAGAGCTTCTAGCATTGTAGGGAGGAGGTGAGCGAGGCAGACAGGACCAGGTCATGGAAGACGTTGTGAGCCAGGCTAACTGAGAAGTATGGGTTTTATCTCACAGCACTGAGGAGCCATTAGACAATCTAAGGAATAGAGAAGAATGATTAACTTTTCATTTTGGGAAAATTAGTTTGACAACAATAAGGAAAATAGATGGTAAGGAAGTGTGGCTGGAGGGAAGGAGACCAAAAGGGAGGAAAAATCAAATTCCAAAGCTATTGAAGAAATAGAAATAACAAGATGTAGTAATAAGTTCAATGTGAAGACTGAGGGAAAAGTTTGGGATGACTTCTAAGATTCTAACATGGGTGGCATTAGCAAAAGGAGAAGGAGGAACAAGTTAGTGGAAAACATGAGTTCAAATTTGACCATGTTCCGTTGCAGGTGCCTTTGGAACACCTAGGTGTCAACATCAAGTTTGCTGCTTTAAATGTTTGCCTGAAACTCATGGAAGAGGTAAGGATTCAGGAGTCATCAACTTATAGACGGTAGCTGAAACATGATTATGAATGACACTGCCAATTCTGTAGCCATCTCATGCTACTCCCTGGTCCCAAATCATCCAGCATTCATTTTTTTATTAATTTATTATTCATTAATTCATTCCTTCTTTGACTGGCTAATACATATAGAACTCATATCATATTCTAGGTAATGTGCAAGGATCTGGGTGTATATTGATGAATAAGCTTTGATTCCTTACCCTAAAAGATCTCATAACCTAGCTGTTTATTATAAATTGACTGTCTAATTCTGTAATTCTGTGTGTCTAAGTCTTATGTCTTTAAGAAGACGATAAACTCCCCAAAGTAAAGGACAGTCTCTTAAGCTCCTTTTTAAAAATCCCAATGAAGATCTAGCATAAAGTTCTGCTTTTTATAGATGTTCAATGTAAATATTGAGTGATAGACTAATTACTTATTTTAAAGCAGACCTATTTATTTATTTTAAAATAGTTTTGGGGGAAAAGGTTCTGACTAGAAGAAACAGTCTCTGACTTATGATGGTTCTACTTATGATTTTTTGCTTCAAAGGTGTGAAAAAAATCTGCATTCAGTAGAAACCACACTTTGAATTTTGAATTTTGATCTTTCCCCAGGCTAGCGATATGCCTTACAGTAGTCTCTCGTGATGCTGGGCAGTGGCAGTGAGTCACAGCCCCCAGCCAGTCACTCGATCACGAGGGCAAACGACCAACACGCTACAGTGTCCCGTGTTGCAGATGATTTTGCCCAACTCTAAGTGTTCTGAGCATGAGGCTAAGCTATGATGTTCAGTAGGTTGGATGTCTTAAATGCATTTTTGACTTATTTTCAACTTAAGATGAGTTTCTTGGGACATAACTCCTTTTTAAGTCGAGGAACATCTGCATTAAGTTTTCATCATAAAAAATGTAGTTTGAGAGGCCAAGGTTGAAGGATTTCTTGAGACCAGGAGTTTGAATCCAGCCTGGGCAACATAAAGAGACCCTGCCTGTACAAAAAATTTAAACATGAGCTGGGCATCATGGCACATGCTTGTAGACACAGCTACTCAGGAGGCTGAGGTAGGAGGATCACTTGAGCCCAGGAGTTTAAGGTTACAGTGAGCTATGATCACACCACTGCACTCCAGCCTGCATAACAGAGCAAGACACTGTCTCTTAAAAAAAAAAATTAGAAATGATATTAAAAAGATAAAGAAAACAACAGTCATTTTCTACATACTATCCACTATTCATATTTTATATAAAATATTCAATCTTTTCTCTAACTCTAGAAACAGGCTTTTACTGCATTTTTTGTAAAATGGGTAATATTAAACATGTTTTCATGCCACTTTCTTTGTATTTGTTAATGCTATCTCATGAACATACTCCTACGCCATTAAATATAGATTTTTTTTTTTTGAGACAGAGTCTCGCTTTCTTGCCTAGGCTAGAGTGAGAGCTGTGGCATCAGCCTAGCTCACAGCAACCTCAAACTCCTGGGCTCAAGTAATCCTTCTGCCTCAGCCTCCCAAGTAGCTAGGACTATAGGCATGCGCCACCATGTCCGGCCAATTTTTTTTCTATATGTTTTAGTTGGCCAATTAATTTCTGTCTATTTTTAGTAGAGACGGGGTCTCACTCTTGCTCAGGCTGGCTTTGAACTCCTGACCTTGAGCGATCTGCCCCCCTCAGCCTCCCAGAGTGCTAGGATTACAGGTGTGAGCTGCCACGCCCGGCCTAATTAAGATTCTTTATGAAGGCTATTTAGACCCCAAAGGCAGAGGCCTGTGACTTTTAAAAAATTGAAGTAATAGTACATAAAAGTTCACAAATCAAAAGTGAGCTTGATAAAAATTTATAAAATGAACACACACAAAACCCAGATTAGGAAACAGAATATTACCAATCCCCGGAAGCCCTCTCCTGCCTCCTCCCAGTCATTGCACACCATTGCCATTTTCTTCCTAGGAAGCTCCCAGCTGATGTCTGAGCACAGCATAACTACTAGGGCAGGGCCTGGACATTTCTGCCCAACATGGACCCCTCTAGGATTTTCTCAGAGCTACACCTCAGTCTGAGGCTCCTCCTACTGTATCCTCCTTCCTTGCCCTCTCATTTTATAGCTGTCAGACCTGCACCATGGCCTAAAGACTTTCCCTGACTACTCCTGCTCCTTTTCCCTTTTGTCCTTAAACAGGTATAACCTACAACAAATCTCTTGCACTTCTAACCTTGCCTTGATGTCTGCTTTCCAAAAGAGCCAATCAGCATGGTTGGTACTAAAAGTGGTCTGAAACCACAAGCCCAGTTTGGGGACTGGGCCACATGCCTCCCAGTTGCCAAGAAAAACCCCCTCCCCAGGTGGTATGTGGGCAGGGACAGTCCCAGTCACAAGGACTAGCCAAGTTGCTAAAAATATCACCAGTAGTGGAGACTATCATCCTAGTGGAGCACGCACTGGCTTGCAAGATGATTCAAGCCTTTGGAAAGCATGGGGCCCAGGGGATGGGTAGACAACACATAGGAAGACAATGGAATTAGCTGATTGTTGAAAAGTGGCATTGACATCCTACAGAAGAATAATTGAAAACAGAGGGCAGTTAACAAGCAGTTATGGCTAAGCGTGAGAACCAGAGGGTCTCCTTGGTGGCTTATAGAGTGGAAGAGCAAGCACAACTGAGGGACAAACTCCTGACAGGGCCAAAGAGGTCCCCAAATGGTTGAATGCTCAGTCAAGGCAGGTCTGTTATGCCTTGATTGAGAAAACCTGGAGCCCTGAAATGTGGGATGGGAAAATCTAGTTGGATACCTTCAAAGATGACATCACAGCAGACTCCCCTGTACCCCCAGAATCTGCAGAGGTGGCCTACACCTCCATGTACAGGAAGACACTGCAGAGGCCTCTCCCTGCTCCAGGCAATAGGTGCCCGCCTCAGGAGCTATGCCCACCTCCTCTCCTGGCTGCCAGGTCAATAATTCAGGTTAAATCCCAGCATAACTTGACTGGTGACATGCTGGACCTGACAAGGGCACTAAGATCCTCCCTAGCTCATATTAGGCCCTAGGGAACATCAATATGATCAGCTGAAAAAGGAAGAAAAAGCCCACGCTTAGTTTACAAATGGAGAAGTGTCAACTTTGTCACTGAAACTGGCTCGATGGGCACATGAATGAAGTGGCCACAGTAGTGGAGACAGAGGCTACACAGGGACCCAAAAGCATGGACTCCCATTTCTCAGACCTATCCTTTCTGTTGCTGCCTTCAAATAGCCAACCTGTCAGCAACAGAGATCAACACTCAGCCCCTGATTTAGCTCTATTCTTTGAGGAGAACAACTAATAATAAGTTGACCATTGGGCTGCTTCTATCCTAGGGGAGGAAGAGTTTCATCCTCAGATAAACAGACACTCAGAGCCGCAGTCATTACCACCATGCAGAGGTGTACAGAGAATTGGATCCACAGGCCTGAAATCTCACACAGCATAGTATCTGACCAGGGGACCCAGATGCTGTGGTCTGAATGTTTGTGTTTCCCCAAAATTCATATGTTGAAATCCTAATTCACAAGGTGATGGTATTAGGAGACGGGGCTGTGGGAGGTGATTAGGTCACCTGGGATTAGTGGGATTAGTGCCCTTATAAAAGAGGCTTGAGGGAGATTGTTTCTCTTTTCTGCCTTGTGAAGACACAGCTAGAAGGCACCATCTATGAGGAAACAGGCCGTCCCCAGACACAGAGCCTGGTGGAACTCGAGTGCCCCACTTGGGTGCTCAAGAAGTATATGGACACCAAAAGCTCAGATCCCTCAGAATGGAGGAACATGGAGGAGCTGCTCCCTGAACCTGTGCAGAGAGGTAGATCTGAGAAGCAAAGGGTGGATCGTGGCAGCTACTGATAGGTACACTGTTCAACTTTCCCTTCAAGAAAGAACTTAATGATCAGCTGCAAGGAAAGCAATTAGCTGACAGTCTCCAGCTGTGGCACCTTTGAGACCTGCTGCAATATTTGAGCTGGGGCTGTGATTTTTTCCCAGCAGTCCCCAGCCAATGACTTGAGTGGGGCAAGGGTCTGGCCAGCACCTTCCCTTATGTTTGGGAACTTGCTACCCAAACTCCCCAACCCCAACCATAGGGCTCCAAGAGGATCAATCATGATCTTATATGCCTGGCTCCATGGCCAAAGGTGAATTAGTGGGAGGATGGACGCCCAAGCTGGGCAAGGTGGCATGTGTCTGTAGTCCCATCTACTCAGAAGGATCACTTGAGCCCAGGAGTTAAAGGCTGCAGTGAGCTATGATGACGCCACTGCACTCCAGCCTAGGCAACAGAGTGAGACCCTGTCTCTAAAAAAAATAAAATTAAATTTAAATTAAACAATAAAATAAAATAAATAAGATAAAAAGAAAAGGATGGATGCCCAAGTTAGGTCATTCATATTCCTTCCAATGGATTTTTTTTAAAACTGTAACTGAGAGGAGACTCCCTCCCAGTGAAGGAAGTTGGAAGAGATAGACTTGGGAGCTGTTGGTTTCTGGCCATGCGAGGAAACCCATCTGTAATGAGCAAGAACGAAATCAACATACACCGAAGCACAGAGATGGGAGCGTTTTGAGTTCTGAGGTCCAGCTGCACCAGCTCTCCTGGGGTTTGGCTATTCCGACCTTTCCTTCTATTGAGCAAGACAGTCTGGTCTGCTTCCACTAAACATTCTAATTGGAATCAGAAAGCTAGAATATGTAACCAAACAAATTATGACACATGTTTAGAAATATCCTTCTTGCCTGATGTCTGTTATTACAATAAAAAAATAGAAATATCCTGCACCTATTTTATATTAATAGTTAACATAGAGTTGGCTGATGGTTTATTGTGGGCTAAGCACTTTGCATATATTAATTCTTTTATTCCTCAATAATAAAATAATGGGTCCACCCTCTGCTATTATTTTCCTGAATTTACATATAAAGAGACCAAGGCTACTTTATTTCAGAATCAAGAATAAATTAGGTGCTTTACCACATGACCTTATATTTGGGGCTCCAGAGAGCAGAGACTTTGGAGATGTGCAATCCTTAGTGTTCTAGTCTCTTACCCAGTGATGACGTCTCTGCTTCATGGCATGAGCAAGACAGGTTTGCAGCTGCAGGTGTCCTTCAACTCCTTGGAAAGGGCCATTTTTAGGAATAAGGAGAACAGTGTTACACATAAGCAGAATGGACAATTTCCTACAAATATACACTTTGGAACCTTAAACTGGGATTTTGACAAGTATAAGTACTTCCATGACCAGAACGTATAAATTGGGGCCACCATGGAAATCCAAGAAGTAAGGATGCCATAGGCATCTATCGATAGAGACTCCTTGAAAGCCAAATCCCTACTTCACAGAGGCCTGAAACCCAACATTAGTGATCCACTCCTTTACGGGAAGCATCCACACGACCTCTGCTGCTCTCTTTGAAAATAAAACACTCTGGCCTGGTGCAGTGGCTCATGCCTGTAATCTCAACACTCTGGGAGACCAAGGGGGGAGGATCACTTGTTCCAGACCAGCCTGGGCAGCATAGTGAGACTCCATCTCTATAAAAAAATTTTTTAAAAAAAACTAGCCAGGTGTGGTGATGCATGCCTATAGTCCCAGATACTCAGGAGGCTGAGGTGGGAGGATTGCTTGAGCCCAGGAGTTCGAGGTTACAGTGAGCTATGATCCAGCCACTGCACTCCAGCCTGGGCGGCAGAGTGAGACTATGTCTATAAAAAAAAGAAAATTAAATACTCTGGAGCGGTATGATTAGGCATCAACCTCAAGGGTGAGAAGAGTAAGAAGGATGGAGAGGAAGGAAGAATGGAGAGGCCTGAAGTAGTAGAAGGTGGGGAAAGGCCTTCCAACCCCACCACTAACTGGAACTTTTGTGAGCACCAGGACTCTGCCTCTAGATCAGTGCTGTTTAGCAGAAATACAACGTGAGCCACATATTTCCTGAAAATTTATCTAGTAGCCACATTAAAAACTTTTTTTCTAAAAACAGGTGAAATTAACTTTAATACATTTACCTAACCCAATATATCAAAAATATTATCATTTCAACCAGTGGTCAATTAAAACTTATTAAAGGGCTGTTTTACATTTTTTTAATATGTCTTTTGTTTTTGTTTTTTGGTTTTTTTGAGACACTCTCACTCTGTTGCCTGGGCGAATCCTGTGGCATCAGACTAGCTCACTGCAACCTCAAACTCCTGGGCTTAAGCGATCCTCCCGCCTCAGCCTCCCGGAGTGCTAGGATTACAGGAGTGAGCCTCTGCACCTGGCCTACTTTTTTTTACATCTTTGAATGCTAGTGCATTTTACACTTATAGCAAATCTCAATTCAGATACTAACTTTTCATCAGAAATACTTGAGCTATATCCAGATTTCATGATATTGGAAATTGAAAAAGTTGTTCAAAATATACTTAAAAATTTCTAATAACTGAATCAAGTATCCATTTTAAAATTCAAATTTAAGCTAATTAAAATTAATGAAATTAAAAATTCAGTTCCTTGGTCACAGTAGCCACATTTCAAGTGCTCAGCGGCCATGGGTGGTACTTGCGTTGAACAGCACTGACAGAGAACATTCCAACAGTGCAGAAAGTGCTCTGGGACTGTGCTGTTCTAGATGGTTCCAGCCTTGGCCCCAGCAGAGCTGGAAGTGAGTTATGTACACAAAACAGGTTCCCTAACTTCCCTGAGGCCTTTGGATGCCTCTCCCTAGACTCCCGGACTGTGACTGCGAAGAGGTCTGCCCCCTGCCCTGCGCCCCTGGTCCTTATGCCACCCCAGGCAGGGCAGTTAAGAGCAAGCGCTCTGCAATCTCTAGAGTCTCAGAGATTCCGGTTTTAAATCTAAGCTCATCACTTATCAGTTATTTGACTTCCAACAGGTTAATTAACTTCTCTCAGCTCTACTTTTTTCATTATAAGGATAGCGTGAGGAGTACATGAGGTGATGTGCACAAGGCATTTCTTTGCACTATGCCTGACACAGAAAATAATGAATGGTAGTTATTATCAGACAAAAACCCCAAACTCTTCTGTATTTCCTCTTGTATATGCTTCCACAGCGTGTTTCTGCCTCCCCTGCCCGGCTCTTTCCCGGTGTTCTGAGGCAGGCTCGGGAAGGAGTTGGCGGGTGGGAACTGGGGAAGGGCCCCAGGTCCTATCTCGCTGTTGCTAACTTCGGCTCTTCCTTCCCTGCTATCAATTCAGACAGCTTTTGCTCTGGAACTACAAGTCCCACACAGCCCCCCCCCACTTCTTCTCTGACCTAGAACAAATGATTAACCACACAAACAGCCATTGACACTCTTTCCAAGGACATCAATGACCTCATTAAGTCTGAACCCACGACACTTTCTCCTCACTCCCACAGCATGTGACGCTGGTCCTTCTCTCCCTCCTCAGCCTGGCCGGCCTGGAACATCCCACAGACCATTCCCACCCTGCCCTGCTTTTTCACAGGCAAATCTTCCCTTTACTGCTCCCTTGGCCTGAGCCTTCTCCAAGCCACAGTCTCACTTGGGCAATTTTATTTACCCCTAGGCCTCACCTTGGTGGCTCTAAACTCACAACTCCCAAACCTGTGCCTCCTGCACAGCACACCTCTGAATTCATCCTTTTCCCCTCAAACCCCACAGGCTCCCCCTTCCTGCGGAGGGTGAAGGGAACACACAGCAACTACAAGCTCCCGTGTCCTCCTCCTGTGCCAGGTACCTCAGTTAACCTTCCCCACCACTCTGGGAGGAAGGAATTTCCATCTCCATTTTACAGCTAGAAAAAACAATACTCAGAAGAGAAAGAAACCCAGTGCTCTTTTCAATCGGTAGGTCTGCCTCCCACCATTCACTGAAGAGACCGCAGCTCTCTGCAGGCATGGACTGCATACTACCTGTCCTCTCCAGGTTTGCAGTTCAGTGAGAGACAGAGAAGAAACAGGTAAATACAGTAGTGTGGGAAGTGCCGTGATAGGGTCTTGGGATCAGGAAAAGCTCCGCCGAAAAGAAGACATCTATGCTGAATCAAGGACTTGTAGGAATTACATGGGAAGAGAATGGGGTAGGGAAGGTGACCTCAGGGAGAGGGAGGTCAGAGCAGTGAGTGCAAATGCCTGAAAATAGGGGAGAGAGAGTTGGGAGGCTACAAGCAGTTCAGTGTGGCAGGAGCCCGAGCAGGAGCCCAAGAAAGAGGTAAGCAGAGGCCAGCTAGAATCCAGGTTGAGGTACAGGAAATCATTCAGTGCTTTCAAGCAGAGGAGGGGCAGGTTCAGAGTTGCATGTGAGAAAGATTCACTGTGGCTGCAGTGCAGAGAATGGACTCAGGAGGGGCTCAGTTGGGGGTGGGGAGACAATTAGCAGGCCACTGCCATAGTCCAGATGAGAGATAGTGATGGTGCAGATTAAGGTAGTGGCCCTCTCGATGAAGAGGAGTAGAGAGCTATCCAGGACGTAGACTGCACAGGACTTGGTGGTGGAGTAGATGGGCAAGTGGGGGGAGGAGGATGCGTTTCACCGGGGATGTGTTGAGTTGAGGTGCCAGTGGGCCACCCAGATCAGGATGTCAGGCAGACAGTGGTCAATGGATTTGGAGCTCAGGAGAAAGAACTGTTTGGAATAGAGTCAGAGGGAGTATATAAATAATCCAAAAGGACAGAAAATGAGAGGTGAAGCAGGCTGAAGGAGCTCTGAGGAATACCAACACTGGGAGATGAGTATAAGAAGAAAGACCTTAAAGGAGAACTGAGAACAAGAAGCCAGAGAGGTCCACACATATAAAAATGGGGGGGGGGATAAAAGAAATTAATTAGAGTATAAAATAAAATATCATAAATTTTTAAATTAAAAAAAAAAAAAAGAAGCCAGAGAGGTAGGAGAAAAACCAAAAAAGTATTGTCTCCTGGAAGCAAAGGGAGGAGAGAAGACATAAATACATTGCAAGTGTTACCAGTCTCTCATCCAAGTACTAACCAGGCCCGACCCTGCTTAGCTTCTGAGATCAGACGAGATCAGGCGTGTTCAGGGTGGTATGGCCGTAGACGAGTATTATCAGTCTCAAAAACAGGGAGGTTATTAGTGCTCTTGTTGGAGAAAAGTCTAAGTGGAGTGTGGAAGGCAAACACCAGTCCGTGGTGGGTTGAGGAGAGATTGGGTGGTATGCAAATATGGGTGGTGAGGGTAGACCACTTTAAGATGCTTAAAGATGTCTGGTTGCAATAAATTCACTGTGAATGAGATGATGAATATAAAGTAATTAGCACAATGCATGGCATATAACAATAATTCAATAAGTGGTAGCTATTACTATTCATCAAAGAAATACAGGCAAATGGTTCAAAAAAGCAACAATCCTCTGGGTCACCCTTTCCCAGCCAAGAGGCAACCACTTGGAACTGCTTCTGTGTTGTAGTAACCTCCACACTACTAAATAACCTCCTAATATAACTCTCTTGATTTATCAGCCTTAGACATTATCTATTAGTTTCCTGATATGCCGAATGAGAATTTAGTTCCCTTTTTAAATGGTTTTTTTTTTTTTTTTTTTTTTGAGAAACAGGGTCTTGCTATGTTGACCAGGCTGGTCTTGAACTCCTAGGCTCCAGGTATCCTTCCACCTCTGCCCCTCAAAGTGCTGGAATTACAAGTGTGAGCCACCTTACATGGCCAAGAATTTAGTTTACTTATACCCCTTTTTTACTGTCTCTCCTCCAAAGCGGTTGTATCACCATCCTCAGCTTCTCCACCGGCCACCTTCACAACCTACTTAGGCTCCATTTTTCATACCATTAACCATAGACCACATCTGTTGACTACCTACTTTTAAGATAAGGACCTTAGTAGTCTACTCTTCTCATCACCTCTCAAGGGGGAAGTTTTATTTTAGTTTTGTTTTATTTTTAGAATGTGAAAGGTCCTTGAATATGCCTAAATGTTTGAAAAGAATCAATGGAAGTGAACAATTGAAGATAGAAGGCCAAACAGTTGTTGGTGTGAGGTCCCTGGAGAGGCAGAGGAGGATGAGTTTAGATCCCAGTGTGGGATATCTTCTCCATAATGGCACCGCCAAGTTTCTAGCATAAGTCCTGGAATCTTCTGAGGACCTTTGAAATACTTTTGCACCCTGGATACAATCAGTTATAAAATTCTGAAGACAGACACAGTAGCTCAAGCCTCTAATCTAAGCACTTTGGGAGGCTGAGGTGGGAGGATTGCTGAAGGCCAGGAGATAGAGATCAGCCTGAGCAAGAGTGAGACCCCATCTTTACAAAAAATAGAAAAATTATCCAGGCATGGTAGCGTGTGCCTATATTCCCTGCTTCTCAGGAGGGTGAGGCAGGAGGATCCCTTGGGCCCAAGAGTTTAAAGTTGTAGTGAGCTATGATGATGCTGCTATACTCTAGCATGGGCAATAGAACCTGTCTCAATTATCTAAAAAAAAAAAATTCATAGATTCACTTCTTCAATTTCCACCTTTCTATTCTTTTCTCTCTTGCTCATGTCTTTAGTTCAGGCTTTCATCATTTCTGACTTGGACAATAAACTTCTAGCTGATCTCTCTCTCTCCTCGCTTTTCCCACTCAAGTCTATCTTACCCCAACGCCAGGTTAATCTTCTTGAAGCAGAGTTCTTGTCATCCTACTCCCTTGCTCCAACTTTGCAGGCTGGCTTTCAAGGCCTTCCACAATGTGGTCCCAGCCCAGCATGGGATTATGAAAGGTCTAATCAGGGAACAGCGGGGACAGAGGTCAAAGGTAAGTGGAGCTTCTTTCTCAAGTACAAGTGTAGTTTCTCAGGCCCACCATTCAGCAAGAGCTTCAGGGCCCCTTCAAAGGAGGTAGAGGCTGGTTGGGCACCCCAAATGTGCCCACTGCAAAGTCAAATGACCAAAGCATGGGCTCTGGTTCAGAAATTCTCTTAGTATTCCCTTCAGAAATTCACAAAAGAAGAAATGCAAACAGCCAATAAAAATATTTGAAAGTTCAACATCACCTGTCCAGAATGGCAGGTATGAGAAAGGTGTGTTTCGTTTTTTAAAGGGCTTCCTCTGTATCCATTATTAAATGAAATCGGTGGCCGGACAGTTTAGCTGGCAGCTGCTTTCCCCTCCTTCTCTGATCTGGGTCATTTGGGCAACTGGATATGCCTGGCTCAGGGCACCAACAGCGGAGAGAATGTGAGGTATGTACCTCTATGTCACAGAAGCTCTGACACTGAGCAAGATTATTTTTAGAGGTGACCTTCTAGGTTCCACGGAAAAGTAAACAGACAGATGCACATGATTTCCTCTGAGAGACCCGTGGTAAACTAATCAGCACACATGCACTCACTGTTATCCTGTGTCAAGTGAAAAGCTTTATCGAAAGTTCAAAACCAACCAGGATAAAGATAGCGGTAACCAAGGGAAAGTTCACGCCGTCTACTCACTCAGTCAGAAAACTGCAGGCAGAACAACTTGCCCATTCTAAATTCTTGGAAAACATGTTGTTTTCAATAAAATTTCAATACTTCCCCATGGAAATATTTCTAAAATTTATTTAATTTATTTACATTTATTTAATTCCTTGCCTTTCATTTTGTATTATTCTTTTTGTTAGTTTGTTGTTTTCCCTATGTACGCTGTTTATTATTTTAAGTGAACATGATAAAAAATATAAAAATCTCTATAATCCTATCCTTTACACATTATATGCATATCTTGATATCTATATATCAAAAAAAGAAAAATATACGATCTTATAACTTTCTTTTATCATCTAGCACTATATCGTGGGCACTTTTTCATGTTGGTATATATAGATTTCATTCTATTGATGGACATTTAGGTCATTTCAAGTGTTTTACTATTACAAACAACGCAGAAGTGAGCATCTCTGGGCACATGTTTGAAAGGTTCTGTTGGACAGCTTCTGGAAAGAAGAATTTCTGGATCAAAACATTTACCTATTTAAAAGGTTTAAATGTAGTTATTGCCAAACTGCTCTTCACCTGTCTCCTGAAGCATATGAAAATAATTTTTTTTTTTTGAGACAAAGTCTTGCTCTGTCACCTGGGCTAGAGTCCTATGGTGTCAGCCTAGCTCACAGCAACCTCAAACTCCTGGGCTCAAGCAATCCTTCTGCTTCAGCCTCCCGAGTAGCTGGGACTATAGGCATGTGCTACCATGTCTGGCTAATTTTTTCTATTTTTAGTAGAGACGGGGTCTTGCTCTTGTTCAGGCTGGTCTCGAACTCCTGAGCTCAAGCGTCCCACCTCAGCCTTCCAGAGTGCTAGGATTACAGGCATGAGCCATCTCACTTGGCCAAAAATAAATTAATTTCTCATGAAGACTTACCATCTAACATAGTACCTGGCACATAGAAGTTGTTTATTCATTGCTAGTTAGATTAAATCATCATAAATATTAGTTATTGCTCTGATTATGAAAAAGTGATGCCTCTGACATTATTAAAGTGCATTGCCCCGTCTGCCTCACTCTTAATTGTCCCAGACACCTGAGGTATTTATGCCAGCAAAGCATTAGATTCATAGCAGTAGTCATAGTGTCAGCAAATATAATATAAAAGACTAGTACAGGCCGGGCGCGGTGGCTCATGCCTGTAATCCTAGCACTCTGGGAGGCCAAGGCAGGATGAGCGCTCAAGGTCAGGAATTCAAAACCAACCAGAGCAAGAGCGAGACCCTGTCTCTACTATAAATAGAAAGAAATTAATTGGCCAACTAAAAATATATAGAAAAATGAGCCGGGCATGGTGGCACATGCCTGTAGTCCCAGCTACTTGGGAGACTGATACAGAAGGATTGCTTGAGCCCAGGAGTTTGAGGTTGCTGTGAGCTAGGCTGACTTAGCCTGGGCAACAAGCGAGACTCTGTCTCAAAAAAAAAAAAAAAAAGACTAGTACATAACACAATACACAGAACTTTCGATTGACTCTTTGCTGGCAAGCTATTTATTGTCACCTGAATTCACAGAATTCTAGAGTACACAGGAGCATAGACATCAAATAATCCAAATGTCTCATTTTTTTGTATGAAGAAGTAAAAGCCCAGAGAGGAAGTGATTAGCCAAAGGTTTAAGAATTATTCTCAAAGCACCTTTTCTTACCCATCCTCCTTTTTTTACTTGTATGCACAGATTTAGTATCATTTTATTTCATTTGACTATATCATACAGATGAGGCACATTATTGACTATGTTTCCTCAAGTCTTCTTAGTTCTGTCAATTTACCTGCCTAGAGCTTTCCTTCTTGTCTTTCTAAGTTTTTATTTCAAGTCATCCAAGGATTGGAAACAAGATAACCAAGCTTATTAGAACTGTATGTCAAGAGTGAACTACATGTCAAGTGGTAGGATCTGACTGTGAGTCTAAGGTTTTCCTATGAGCAAAACACAAGAGTTTTAATACATTTTCGTCAGCTATTTTTGGCTACTCAGGATAGCTTAGGTGTGTGTGCATGTGTGTGTACATATGCACTTCCTAAACTTTAGCGGTATTGCCATGTTCTGGATAGGTGAGATTATACACCTGAGATAGGTGAGATTATATATATAAATATTATTATATATAGTGTATATATATATATAGTGAAATCTTAGAAGGTATTCAGAAACCTTTAGATTTAAAAACTTCTCAAATACTAAGGAAATAAGCAGCCAAAAGGTTTGTTTCAAATGTTGTTAGCTTTGGTCAAGGTAAGATATAAGGCCAACTTTGGTTTCATCATCAGAAATTTTAGGAATAGTGTCTATGAGAGGCAGAATAATGACTGTCCAAAGATGTCCACATCCTAATTTTTGAACTCCATGAATATGTTACCTTATGTGGCAAAAGGGAGTTTGCAGATGGGATTAAGTTAAGGGTCTTCAAATAGGGAGATTAATCTGGCTCATGCAGGTGGGCCCAGTGTAATTACAAGGGTCCTTACAAGTGAAAGAGTTAAGCAGGAGAGTCAGAAGAGACATGACAACAGAAGCAGAGGTCAGAGTGACACAACTGCCAGCAGAGAGACCAGGGGCCAAGACACCATGAGCCAAGGAATGCAGACAGCCTCCAGAAGCTGGAGGAGGCAAAGAAATGGATTCACCATTTCCAGAAAAGAATGCAGCTCACTACTGACACCTTAATCTTAGCCCAGTGAGACCATTTTAGATTTCTGACTCCAAAATCATAAGATAATAAATTTGTGTTATTTTAAGTCACTAAGTTTATGGCAATTTGTTATAGCAGTAACAAAAAACTAATACAGTGTTTTACCAGAAGGCAGTGCAAATCTAAGTTGTGACTGAAGGACAATTGTTCTCTTGTGTTTTAATCAAGGCAAACAAAGCCCAGTTGGAGTGGCTTGCACCTTTAGTTGAGTCCCAGCAACTTGGGAGGCTGAGGCAGGAGGATGGCTTGAGGCCAGGAGTTCAAGACCAACATGAGCCATATAGTGAGACCCCCCCTCTCTAAAAACTAAGTAAATAAAAAATAAAATAAATAAATAACAGGGAAAACATCTCTTAAATATAAGTGGTAATTTAGGCTATGATATCTAAACAGTATCCAGTGAGAACTTACTAGAATTCTCTGGGTTTATTTCCTTTTTAAAGAATTGCTGTTGTCATATCTTATAAGTGAAAATTATGTGAAAAAATACAAGGCAGTGCTTGTTATTTTGGAGGACATGATCATGATTAGTATCAATATCTGCTCCCTGAAAGTGATAATAAATGAACAAAATTTATAATCATACTTCTTTTTATCATACAATGCTTCATATTTTAACATACATACATTATGCCAAAAAATACTATTATATGTTATTACCATTTCACTGATGAGCTTGATGACAAACCATTTCAAAAGAGCAGAACAGGAGAATATTAAGCAGTTACCAAAATCACATAAATCTATGCCATAGTTGAAGCTGGACACAATTGGATAAATTATGTTTTTCAGGATACTCTGAAAAACTGATCTGAACTGAACATAACAGAGGCCTCATAACTTGCCTGGACATGGAGACAAAGCATTCTGGGGCCCAGACAGGACAGGGACCAGGGTTAGGTGAATGAAGCAGTCATTGTGGGCACAAAATCTAAGGGAGCATCAAAAATTTTAGTAATGAAGATCATTGTTAACGTTACATTTCCAAAAATCAAATCAGCAAACTATGCTATGTGGGCCAGCTGCCTGGCTTTTTTTATAAATTAAGTTTTACTTGGCTGGGCGAGGTGGCTTACACCTGTTATCCTAGCACTCTGGGAGGCTGAGACGGGTGGATTGCTCAAGGTCAGGAGTTCAAAACCAGCCTGAGCAAGAGTGAGACCCTGTCTCTACTATAAATAGAAAGAAATTAATTGGCCAACTATATATATATATATATAAATTAGCCAGTGGTGCATACTGTAGTCCCAGCTACTCGGGAGGCTGAGGCAGGAGGATCGCTTGAGCCCAGGAGTTTGAGGTTGCTGTGAGCTAAGCTGATACCACAGCACTATAGCCCAGGCAACAGGAGTGAGACTCTGTCTCAAAAAAAAAAAAGTTTTACTAACAACCATGGTAAGTGGAGCAAGAGAGAAGTAGGGGCTAAGGAAACCGAACCTACAGTATCACCTAAAAGACAGCCAGGAAAACAAATGCACATGCTGAAAATGCATAGTAACATTCCAAAAAGAAGCATAAAAATATAAAGAATGAACAAAATAAACTGAGAAAAATATCTGTCACAAATATATCAAAAGGGTAATATCCTTAATGTGTACATAGTTAACACAATCAATACGAAAAATACTAACATAACTGAGCTAAGAACATAAATGGTTAATTCCGAAAAAAGGAAAAGCAAATTGGCAATAAAAGCGCTAAAAATGTTCACCCTCGTTAGTAATACTTGTAAATAAAATTAAGATGACACTTTCAATTATCATATTAATTTGCTTTTAAAAGATAGCGCAGGCAGACAAATAATCTCAGGGAAAGTATAAATTGGTATAAGTTTTTGGCAATATATATCAAGAGTGTGAAATATTTTGTAGTTTTAAACACAGTAATCTCACCTCTAGGAATCCATTCTGAGAAAATATTGTGCAATGTTATAAAAGAGCCTCATGCAAAGTTGTTATCCAAAGCATTAAACCTTCATTTATTCATTCAACAAACATTTATTGATTGCTTATTGGTCAATAATAAAGGTAAAAGTAAATAAGACCATTTACTTTGATCAGAAACCAAAGTGGACTTACTTATGGAAACATCTGTCTCAAGCAGCAAGTCAAGACAATTTTCTCTATTGTTAGCAGTCTTGGATGGAGGTTTCTTTCAGGTCCTTGGTGATCACTGGGAGAAAAGAATATCAGACACATCATGTAAGCCAAGCAAACGACAGCTTTTTTTTAATTGAAAGCACACTCTCAAGAGAGAGAATGAGCAGGCTCGAAAAGAGCAGCTGCACTGGGAGGAAGTGGTTTTTGGTCTTTTGAAGTCTTACTAATTGAGAGGAGGAATATTCAAGACTATGCAGTTGGCTTTTACTAAGAATTTGGGTAGTAATTCCTAGAACTGGGTTCCCTCCCATTTTCGTGCTTTATATGGTTGTCTCAGAACTGTCATAGTGATTTCAAGGGTGGAGAAATTTTACAACTGCAATGTAAATGACATTGTAATTAACCAAAGTTCATGTAAGGTAGCAGAGATAGCTGACAAGCCATTTGAAGCCAGTTCTAGCCCATCCAGTTAGCTTCTGCTTGAGGGTTGTTTACTTTAACACCTGCACCCAATCTTGGAGTCCCTGCATCTGGTCTCAGCCCTGTCTCCTAGTCTCCTACTCCAACACTATGGGTCTTTTATCATGCAGTTTTCTTTTAGCAGTCATAATGATTGCTTTTGAATGTGTGATAAAAGATAGTAAATATATCATACTCATTTGTTGAAAGTCCTACCACTTTTGAAAGAAATGGAATTTGGCATATGTTTCTAATTGAGTATAGCTTAATTTCAAACCCACACCAAGGGGAAATATGTACTCTCATACACTGTAGGCAGAAATGTACGTTGGTAAAACCCTATTAAAAGGCTTTTTAATAATATCTACTGAATTTTTATAATATTCCTTCTCTTTAACCTAGCAATTCTACTTCTAGGAATGCATTCTATAAAAACACACACAGAGGTATGAAAAAATAAATGCACAAAGATGTTCATCGAAATAGTTTGTAATAATAATTTAAAAATCAGAGACAACTCAATTTTCCAATATAGGGAATTGAGTAAAGAAATCAAACAAAACATTTATAATGTTTGCCAGTTTTTAGGGGTATGTTCTCTCATCACGGCCCATTTTGGGCTACAAAGGCAAAGTCACAGAACTTGAAGTTGAAAAGAGATGTGCATATTTGGCTTTCTCAAGCCTGCACAAGCAGCTTCCAGCATACCACTGATTCCATGGAAGAAAAGCAGGAAGGCAGGAAGAGGGCAGAGGGCAAAGGGAAAGAAGAAAAAGGAAAAAATGAGATAAATCTAATTATACTGACACAGAAAGATATCCAAGATTTTTTTTTGGAGACAGAGTCTCACTTTGTCACCTTGGATAGATTGCAGTGGCACCCTCCTAGCTCACTGCAACCTCAAACTCCTGGGCTCAAGTGATCCTCCTGCCTCAGCCTCCAGAGTAGCTGAGACTACAGGTGCATACCACCATGCCCAGCTAGGCTAATTTTTCTATTTTTTTGTAGAGATGGAATTTCAACTTCAAGTAGTCCCAGCTACTCGGGAGGCAAAGGCAGAAGGATGGCTTGAGCCCAGGAGTTTGAGGTTGCTGTGAGCTAGGCTGACGCCACAGCACTCTAGCCTCAGCAACAGAGTGAGACTCTGTCTCAAAAAAAAAAAAAAATGCTTACAATTTGTTTGAAAGTGTAAAAATTAAAAGCAGATGACAAGCCTTATTACAGTGTGATCCCCACTTTTTATAAATCTAAAGCTACAGATCCTATGACTTCACTAAGTCCCTGGCCCACATTCAGTTACCTGATTTGTAGAAGGGAATAGGCTAAATGTAAACTGTGATTTTCCCAAAGTAGTTCAGTAACTTGGGCTGTGTGATTCCCATTGCCTGGAGTGGCCTTCTCTGCCCTGTGTTAGGAATTCTATTCAGGAGCCTAATTATCTCTTTATTACACTGTTGATGCTAGTGTAAATTGCTAAATTGAAGGATTATTTGGCAATATTTATCACTTTTTAAATATGAATGGCTTTTGACCTGAGTCTGCTTTTAGAAATTTATACTTGCACAAATGCCCAAAGATATATGTACTAGAATGTTTGTTATAATATTGTACTATATTAACATATATAGCAAGAAAAAAAGAAAATTAAAAACATACATGCCAGCCAGGCGTGGTGGCTTACGCCTGTAATCCTAGCACTCTGGGAGGCCAAGGCGGGCGGATTACTCGAGGTCAGAAGTTCGAAACCAGCCTGAGCAAGAGCAAGACCCCGTCTCTACTATAAAATAGAAAGAAATTAATTGGCCAACTAATATATAGAGAAAAAATTAGCCAGGCATGGTGGCGCATGCCTGTAGTCCCAGCTACTCAGGAGGCTGAGGCAGCAGGATTGCTTGAGCCCAGGAGTTTGAGGTTGCTGTGAGCTAGGCTGACGCCACGGCACTCACTCTAGCCTGGGCAACAAAGCAAGACTCTGACTCAAAAAAAACACACACACACACAAAAAAAACCCAAAAAACATACATGCCAATGAAGAGGACTTAGGTTAAGTAAATTATGGTACATCCAATAAAATTCTACATGGCCACTAAAATAAGAAAGCTTGTCCTGTTGCAGGTCCTTTTGTGGGGTGATCTGCAGTCGGCCAGTCAGGGTAAGGGACTTTCCATCCTAGCACTGTGGCTAAATTTGCCCATAACCTGGCAGAGAAGGCCCCTGCTTTGGTAAATGCTGCTATGACTTATCTAAAGACTTGATTGGCAACATTTTGGTTCTAAGCCAAGGTGGAGCTTTTCCTCCAACCCCTGCTGAGCTCTCTAGGGAGAGCTTTTCCAAGGCTGAAAACAATAGTGGATAGTGCTCAGACTGGTAGCTTTAAACATTTCATAGTTAAGGACACTGTGCTGAATGGTTTGGTGGCCACTGAGATGTGGATGTTGTTTTACAGCAGAGAGATCATAGGCAAGCGTGGTATCTTTGGCTATAATATTTGAAGACCAATCTTTAACATCTGATTATATTCGACTTATTATTTGAGTGTTTTTTGGACCACATGTGATCAGACTGCTATCTGAATAAGATGTATCAGAAAAAAAAAAAAAAACCCTCTATACTATGGTGATGTGAAAACCAATCCAAAATGTTTAAAGAAAATAAAGGTGAACAAAGTGACCATATGATAATAATAAGAGTAGCAGTATTAATAGTTAACATTCATTGAGCATTTATTATATACCAGACATTGTGATTTACAAAATTTCATTTAAGGATTACCACAATCCTATCTCATTAATCTGTTTATTAGACGGATGAGAAAGTAAAATATAAAGTAGGTGAAGAATTTAATTAATTTTAATAAGCAAAGAGATTAGCTGAACTCTCTAGTGGGAAAGTGTAGAATTCCATCCTCTCAAATCAAGCATAGAAAAACTGAAAGCAGTTAAAAGTAGGTAAAAGGTCCTTAAAATCTGTACCCCCATAATATGCCAAAATAAAAAAAAAAAAAGTAGGTAAAAGGTAATAAAAATTAGGTAAAAGGCATAAAAATTAGGTAAAGGTAAAACTTGCAGGATTCCTAAGGCATAGGCAATTCCCCAGGTTGTGAAAATAAATCCCAGTTGAAACGCATGGGCTTTGAGCGCCCACTAAATGGCAGACAGATCCCAGCTATTACAAGGGCTCAGCTTGTCAACAGCTGCCCAAGTGGAACTCCCAGGAAGTGTTCCCCTCACTTCTCCCCTTCGTAACCACATCTGGAATCTTTGACCAATAACCCTAAACCCAGAACCCCAATCTCAAATCTTTGACTGACAACCCTATATGTATAACATTAGATTAACAGATACAAAATAAATCTGTTCCCCTCCACTAGATAAGGATTGCAACCCCAAATAACCATGATGAAGAAATTAATCACTTCCGTACAAGTGTCGACTGTAGTGGATAGCCACAGATGAACGCGCATGTCGACTTTAGCCAACAGCCGGGATGTGACTTTTCTAATTTTTCATTTATCAAAATAAAATGTGAACATTTAAAAATAACATAATGAAAACATTTATGTACATGTTACCTATTCTGATTTACATTACAAGTAAAGCTGCCTGTAAAGTAAACTAAGCTTTCAGTGCTTTAAAGCTTTCCTCATCACGCAAGAGCAAAACAGATTCGTCGTCAATGCACAGCACAAACTATCCTGCGGACTGTGAGTGCCGGCTGTGGGCAAGGTTTCGCGGCCGACGAGCACCGTACCGAAGTGGTTAATATAGTTTGGGGTTTTGTTTTGTTTTTTTTAAGAGATGGGGTCTTGGTCTGTCACCGAGGCTGGAGTGCAGTGGCATGATCATAGCTCACTGCAGCCTCAAACTCCTAGGCTCAAGTGATCCTCCTGCCTCACCCTCCCAAAGTGCTAGGATCGGTGCCCTACCAATATAGTTTTAATGATACCTTGTACCTTGTATACGTTATATTTACCAAGACATAATTATAAATTTTTACTTCACTGTGCTGCTTGAGTATGCATTCTCTGCATTTAAAATAGTCTAGATGTTTTAAAGAATCTCACAAGTTGGGGAAAAATCTGATGTTTTAGACTGATTTTTTTTCCATTTTTTTTAAATTTCAGCATATTATGAGGGTAAAAATGTTAAGGTTACGTATATTGCCCATGCCCGCCCTCCCCCCTCAATAGACTGATTTTTAATTGAAATACTTTGGATTTGACAATTAGAGGTATAGTGAATATTTAATCACTCCTGTAAATTTGATTTTAGGTATACCTTGGTTTTTATAGGGCACAGATACCTAAGATAATTTGATTTACTACATTTTCACTAACATTTAACATTTATTGAATGCTTACTACATGCCAGGCATTTTTTAAATGTTTTGTATGCACTAATTCAGGTAAGTCTCACAATAACTCTATGAGGTTCATACTATTGCTACTTCCATTTTCAGATGATAAAACAAAGGCACAAGGCATTACTTTCCCAAAGTCCCACCGCAGAGCCAGAATTCAAACCTCATCAGGCTGGCTGGGAGTCAGTACATGCTCCTAACCAATGCCCTTCCAATGCTCAGGAAGACTCCCACAGGAATACTCTGTAAGTGCACATGACTGGGCTGAGAAAGGGCCAAGGTGATTACAGAATAACAGTATAAATCTCTCTTGGTAGGGGCATGAAGAACCTAAGACAATTAGATACTACAATATGTGAATCTGACATACTTCAGGGAATTTAATAAGCAGTGTTAAATATGTAAGAGAATTTGATTTGTTAGATCTGTATGCTTTTGTAACTTTAATATACAATGTTTGATCATTAAGAAGCTCACCGAGCATTAATCAAGGAACAAGTGAAAGTATTTTAACATAAAATTGATAGCTTTATGAATAAATTTGAGAAGTGTGGTTAAATTCTTAATAACAACTAAGCTTAAAATGTATAGCTATAACAAGTTACACATCAATTAAGATGCAAGCAGCATTATGAGTTTCTTCCCATGCACAAAAAGTCCTCATAGACATTTAAAATCTCAATTGATGATTGGTACAGTTGTAGCACCATTTTACAGAGGGGGAAAGTGACGTAAAGAGACATAACTTCCTACGGTGATAGAACTAGGAAGTGATGGACCCTTCATTCTAGCCCAGGTGACACCAGATGGCCAAAACCAGCACACTTGACCACTTTCCTATACCACCTCCAGTATATGGAGATTTCATTTCTATAGAGAATAATGTCAGTTAGAAATATATAACTTGGAGGAATATATACTAGTATGACAACACTGGTCTTCCTTGGAGTGGGATTTATGGAGGGCTGCATTTTTATTTCTGTAATGTTTATGATTGGAATAAAAGGAATTATCCACTTCGTCCCATTTTTCAACTAATCTCCTTGGTGACAATTTAAAATTAAGAAAATTCTACACCTCTTTATATTTTACTTTTTTCCCCTTGTGTTCTCAATTAGCATTGTGTAGTCATTTACTAATATCTACATCATGCGTTTTCTTTTGCTTACACTCATATTTGTGTTTCAAACATTCTGGCAGATGGGCCTCACTCCTGGATGCAAGCTTTTCTTAGGCTCCATTACTCACACCCCAATAGAATTTGTCACTCCACCTATGCTACCTTTGTGTCTAGTATATGCTTTTATTATCAAACTCATAATACTGGATTACAGTTGTTTTTCCATTCATCCATCTTCCTTAATACAATGTGTCATATTTCTCTGTGTTTTCCCAGGGTCTAGCACAGAAGTTGGCTGGTTAAACCAAATATATTTTACAGTTATGGAAGCTGAAGTATACTCCCAAAGGCAATTACATAACTCTTTCTTTCCTTGAAAGGCTTACTCTCTGGGGGTCCTTTCACTCTAACACAATCAAGACTTAAGTTGAATTAAAAGTGGAAGGATTCTGTGAAGGTGTCACAAAATTAGAAAAACTGGCGGGACACAGTGGCTCAAGCCTGAAATCCTAGCACTTCGGGAGGCCAAAGCGGGAGGAGCGCTTGAGCTCAGGAATTCCAGGTTGCAGTGAACTATGACAGCCCCACTGCACTCCAGCCTAGGCGACAGAAAGACCCTGACTCTGGGAAAAAAAAAAAAAACAAAACCAGAAGAATTGAATAGCGTCTCTGAAAAAACATTTGCAAGGAGGTGTTGAGAGTGGAGTTTTGGTGCAATGTCTCATATTAACAATAGGGAGGGAGGGAGGGAGAATCCTGTCATTGTATCCCAAGGTGTTCCATGTGCTATTGCTCATAGACCAGCCTAGCCACCACATCCGGTATTTGTCAGAGTCCAGTTTTCTATTTAAAAGAAAGCAAAAAACACATTAAAAAGGGCAATTAACCTGTTAACCCGAATATTTTTAATATAGATAGTTGGGGCCTATTTGCATTTTGTCCTGGACTGCTTCAGTAGTGGAAATTTCGGGTTAGAGTTACATTGTGGAGGGAGCAGCCCAACAGACCACTTGCCTCCCCCCGCTGCGGTGAAAGCGCTGGCCTATGGGCGGGGGCGGTGGAAACCAGAGTCGGGCCCCACTACTTCCCACCTCCGTCTCAGCGGCCAGGACGGGAAAGTGAAGATGAAAGCAGGACCTACTCAGATGGCCCCTCTAAGGCTGGCGAGCCTCGCTGGCCACTTAAGCTGTGCGAGAGGCAGCTGAAGAGGTGACGGTTGGCGGACCTGAGACCCTCTTAAGGGTTTGGCTTTCCCGCTCGGGAGAGAGTTTCCTTTCGTATGGCCCCGCCCCGTCTCCTTTGGGCCCCGCCCCCAGGGGCGTGACCTCCCCACGCGGCCCGCCCCGTTCCGGCGCCTCCGCTGCCCTCGCTCACCGCTTCCGCCCCTGAGGCCACGCCCCCTGAGCCGGGCCCCAGCCCTGAGGGTCCACCCGGCTCTGGCCCCCGCGGGGCGGAACCTGCGCCAGGGCCTTTCCTCTTCCTTTTCCCCCTCCTTCTCCTCTTCCTTCGGTCCCTCCTCCTTCTAGGGGCTCGGTGTCGTACAGCGCAGCGGGTAACTGGAGCCCAGGAACGCGGTGGAGAATTGGCCGGGACGAACCCAGGGTTCCTTCCCATAAGGCCCCGCCCCAGCCTGGCCTGGGGTCCGGTGACAGCGGGTGGCCTATGGGGTTGAGTCACCTCTCAGGTGCATCTCTGCAGTGGAACCACCATCTAAGTGTCACTAATTTCAGACTACCTTTTCATTACAATCCACAGGATGCCTGGTAATTACAGTAGATACCTGACCTAATACTTGCAGACCAAGTTTAGATGAAAATAGGGAAATGTAGGCACAAAGCAGGAAAATGGGATACTGGTGTTTTCAGAGTTCTCTTCAGGTTTGTGAAAGATATGGGGGGGGGGATCTCCAACGAGTATATAATTCAGACATAATAAAAAATGACATGAAGTGACTGTCACCCGATTTTCTTCGTGTCTGACATCAGATTGTACTCACAGCAAGTGTTCATCTGGTGTAAGCCCTTGTGATCAAAATGAAGCCAGATAATTTAGCACGTACAGTTGTTTGCCTGTGTTCTCCAAATCTGAAGAGCATTGCCTTCACACTGCTTGTAGGGAGTTTAAAGGGAAAAAGAACCAAACCACTTACCTGCTTCAAGTGCTTAGCGTTGTGCTAGAATAATTACAGAAGCTATCCTTCAGCTTCTGTGAATTTTTGCCCAAGGAAATGTGTAGTGAGACAGATGAAGTTGTGAGACTGACTTTGTAATTACCTATTACTACCAAAACTTTGCCCTTTAGAAATAATTTCAGCAGTATGGCTATTAGCATCATAGCCAGAGCTTGTATTCCCAGCTACTTTGGAGGCTGAGGTGGGAAGATTCCTTGGGCCCCGGAGTTAGAGTCCAGCCTGAGCAACATAGTGAGACACCGTTTCTAAAAAAATTGTCAGAAGACGGAGAAGAAATAAGAAATAATTTAGCAGTAGTTGGTTAGAAAAATACAAATAATCATGTATGCCTGTCACACTGACGAGGATGTAGTAAAAATTCAGAGTTGTGGGCAAACAAGATGTATGTGATCATGCTGTTTCTCCAGTGATCCTTCTGCCTCCCATGTAAAAAAATGAATGAATATGATTAACCAGAATTAAGGAAGAAACGATGAGTAAAGGAAAGAGTTCACAGATTTCTATTTGAAAGACTCCCAGGTGGAAATTAAGAAATATGAAGTTTATTTTTATCCTACTTGGTAATGAAAGGTGAATTGAAAACAGGCTGTTTGCTGGATACTTGCTGTTCATTATTTCATTGAACCTTCACAACTTGCATGAGATCCCTATTATTTTACTGAGAGAAAAACCAGGGCTTTGAGAAATTAAGGTAATTTGCCAAGGTCACAGGACTAGTTAATTATCAGTTTAGGATTGAATTCAGGTCGCCCAACTCTCTAAATTAAAAATTATGCAGAATGCAGGTGTATATATTTTTCTAAATTCATCAAGCTATAGAGTTAAAATGGGTACATTTATGTAAATTATACCTCAGTAAAGTTGATTTTTAAAATTCATGCAGAATGAATGTGATTTTTTTATGAAAAAACTCATCAAAGAAACATTATGATTTTACACATGAAAACTCGTGAGGAAAAAGAAGTGATATATCTATATCATATAACTTATATATAATTAATATAATTAATGATATATTATGATATATTAAAAAGATATGCTTTATATATATAACTAACATACACACTGAAAGGCTGGTAACACCACTGACAAGACTTATTCATTCAGGTAACCTTCCCTAACTTCAGATACAGATGTATAGAAATGTCATACAGGAAGCTGCCAGGGATAGGGGCATGTAAGTCTTGTGGAAATCAACCAAGTGAACACAGGATTTGCAAAGACATTGGAAGTACATACATACCTATCTAACAAAAATGTCTTCAAAGTATAGTGCATTAAAAAGATCAGACACCTTTGCTATCGGGCATGCATATGCATTAAATTTACCTCTTTTGTCTTTTTTCTAACAAGTGACTTAAGGATAGAGTTATCTTTTCTATGTGTAATGTACCATGTATTATACTAAAGATTGTGATTATAAACTGTGCAGCAAAATTTATAGGTTTTTATTTTCAATTAAAATTTATTTGACCAGTTTGTCAAAAACAAGTGATTGAAGGTTGTGTTTGGCTGTTTAAAGACAATGTATTGACAACTTTTTCATTTTTATGACGTTCCATTTTGAAGTTTCACCAGTTTAAGAAGCATTTTGAATTTCAAGCTTTAATGAAAATTCATGAATCCAAAATTTTGTGAATTGGGTATTCTGAACAATCATGTAGAAACAAGACACAAAATAACTCAGTTTTTCCCACAAGGGGCAAAACTGGCTTTCTTGCGATGCTTAAACCAATGATAGTTGCTACCTTAACCCAATGCAGATGTGTCTGTATTGATCAATTTAACAGCCCCCAGTAATGACAAACTCTACAAGGCCTCAGAATAGGATATGACTGATTGGATTTCACTGTTAGGAATTCTGCACAACCTTATGTTTTCCAAAAAATATATATTTTCTCCTTCAGCAATCATGAAGACAGTAACATATCTTGAATGAAAAAGAAAATAGTTGTGAGGCAAAGCGTGAGTCTTAGGGCAATTTGATCAGAATGCATACTCAGCACCCTTCATGAGGTCAGCAGACTGACCAGTGCTCTCCATCAGCAGAGTTATTTTGCAAGATAGAGCTTAACAACAGAAAATCACTACTCTTGGCAATTAGATATAACCAGAACAGTTGGGGAACAGCACAGTGCCTGAAATGAGACCCCGGTGTGAACACCTAAACTTCCTGCTGGTGGTTACTAGCTTCACTGTTTTACTTCTAACATTTGTTAAATACTAGTGCAGTTTACTTGGCAATAAAAGCAGTGTGTCTCCTCAGACATGCATAAGACTATAATTGAGGGAGTAATAAAAATGTTTCCACTCCAACTAATGTCTAGCACAGTTTTTCTTAATTTATTAATAGAATTTATAATGATTCATTCCAGAAATGTACTCATTTACTAGAAAACATTCTGAACAGGTGGAAACAATTTTATTTTATTTTACTTTTTTAAATTAATTAATTAATTTTTTTTGAGCCAGAGTCTCACTTTGTTGCCCAGGCTAGAGTGAGTGCCATGGCTGCCAGCCTAGCTCACAGCAACCTCAGACTCCTGGGCTCAAGCAATCCTCCTGCCTCATCCTCCCAAGTAGCTGGGACTACAGGCATGCACCACCATGCCCAGCTAAGTTTTTCTATATATATTAGTTGGCCAATTACTTTCTTTCTATTTATAGTAGAGACAGGGTCTCACTCTTGCTCAGGCTGGTTTCGAACTCCTGACCTCGAGCGATCCGCCCGCCTCAGCCTCCCAGAGAGCTAGGATTACAGGCGTGAGCCACCACGCCCGGCTGGAAACAATTTTAATACATGAGTGTGTTATCTAAATAAATGCACATTCTTCTCCAGTCTAGTAGCATATCACCTTGAGTGCCTCTATCTGCATGTTAAAAATTGACATACAAAAAAAAAAAGGAAAAAAATTAAGATACTATTTCAAAACTATACAACAGAGTCTTAAGATACTTTATGGCAAGGTATATTAAGAAGCTTTCTCTTTTTTATTTAATAAGTTTTTTGTTTTTGTTTTAGATACAGTCTTTCTCTCTTACCCAGGCTGGAGTACAGTGGCATGATCCCCAAGTAGTTGGACACCTAGCTAGTTTGTAGAGACAGGGTCTTGCTGTGTTGTCTAGGCTGGTCTCAAACTCCTGGCCTCAAGTGATCCTCCCACTTCAGCCTCTGAAAGGGCCGGGATGATAGTCACGAGCCAAGAAACTTAAAAGAGTTTATGACCTCCTAGAAATCTATCCAGGAAATAGATATTTGACCAAGATTTATATAGAAAAGATGTTCACTGCAGTGGCCTGAGCAAAAAACGGGACCTGTCTCTGCAAATCTGTCTCTACAAAAAATAGAAAAATTATCTGGGCATGGTTGTGCATGCCTGTAGTCCCAGCTACTCAGGAGGCTGAGGCAGGAGAATTGTTTGAGCACAGGAGTTTAAGGCTGCTGTGATCTAGGCTGATGCTGAGGTATGGTACAGCACTCTAGCCCAGGCAACAGAGTGAGACTGTCTCAAAATATATATATATTTTTTTCACAATATTTTTGCTTGTCAATATTTTCATATTGTTGTATCATGTGTAAATATGGCCTTTAATCAAAAGAAAAAAGTGTTTTAACATCATTTTGACCAAAAAAAGATGCTACCCAGAGCATGTTGGACTTTTGAGATCTAACTTAGAAGTAGGAAATCAAAGTACTAATTACTCATAATAGAGTTTTGGCAGGCTAAGTAACATAGCTTTGTATTTGGTATCTGCCTAATACATGGAAGGGAAAAAAATGATTCCTTTGAATATATCTATGAAGCAATTTATGAAATCTTCTTGGAAAACTTAGTTGTGCAGCCACTATTTAAATAAATGAACATCTACTGGCAATTATATCAATGGAGTCATACATTGATAAAAGATTTCAAACAAGACAGATATTCTAGTAGAAAATTAAATAGACAAAATATCATGTGGAAACAGACAAGTTTCCTAATAGAACATCAAGTTAATAATTAATCTTTATGCCAGTGCAGTGGCTCATTCCTGTAACCCCACAACTTTGGGAGGCAGAGGCAGGAGGATCACTTGAGGTCAGGAGTTCCAG